ATATGGCTTCCGAGGAACCTGCGTTCCACACAACTGGTGTACAGTGCATGTAAAATTAGCAGGTACCCGAGGCAGAAAAAAAGGCCTTGAGCATTGTGTTGGACCGAGGTACCCCATTACTCGAGGACCCGTTTTAGCCCCAAGTCACAGGTGTCAAAATAAAGGCCCAGGGGCCAGATCTGGCCCGCCACATCATTTTATGTGGCCCGCGAAAGCAATTCAAGCAGGTCAACTTCCATGATGCTTGCTAAAGTCTGAACCAGCATTTCAAATTGTCATATAGAAAGTAAGAATTACAATGTTCGAACAATCCATTACTCTTTACTTCTGATGTCAAAACTCGTTATCCATCTATTTGTTGTTCGCTGTGTATGTAACATGTGGAGGTGGTTAAACATTTACGGTATATGGTTTGACAAAATTCAGTCAGAACGGCTCTCCAAGGGAAACTGTAACTACAATATGGCCCACGACAAAAATTTGTTTGACACCCCTGCCCTAAGTAATAGATAGACAAGAGCATGAAGCATGCACATTTTGGCCTTTAATTGGAGAACTCCGCAAACAAGAATACAAACAGGTGCTAAGGAAAACTTTCAAAAGTGTGTTTTATTATATTTTAAGATAAGATAAGAAAACCTTTATTAGTCTCGCAATGGAGAAATTCCCAATTCACAGCAGCAAAGTTATGAAAGGAAGAAGTAGAACAACAAAGTATAGGAGCTGCTGGAAAGGCAGCCACTCTCGCGGCGCCATTAAGGGTGTTTTAATATGTTTAAATGTGCTTTGTTAAGTTTAAATGTGTTCAAAGCCTTTACAAGAGGTAAAACTATTTTTAAAAATTGATCTCACAATATTACAGATTTTCACTTCATGTGGGTGGGTCTGGAATTTGCAATAAGGAATTCACTGTACAATGGCTGCCTTTAGCTAGTGAACTACATCACAATATTGCAATGTTTTCCCAGTTATCGCTGGCTGTATATCGTACAATTTTTGACTTGCCACAGTGACATGAAACAGTGACACTCACCAGCAGCAATCACATCATTCACTTTCTTGCCTTTGAGCTCAGCGAGGACCTGTTGAAGGTAAATGGCATTTGTGAAAGTCATTCGAGTAAAAAAAGAAATTTAAAAAAAAAAATGTTGATATGTGAAGGAAGCTTTGAAACACCAGAACAGGTACCTTTTCCAAACGGGTGTCATCAGCTTCAATGCCAACACTTTCTAGGATCTTCTTGATGTGTTTAGCATCTGGATTCTCATTGCCGCCAAGGGCAGATAGCAGGTAAGCAGCTACGTAACGCATTCTGTAACAAGTAATTTGAACAAATATTGGGATCATTGTAACATATAAAGCAACTACGATTCTAAGTATTCTTATTTTAACTTAAGGTTATTATCACAGGAATGAGCTTTAACATAGTAGCAGTGGTTGTTTTGCCGTAACCGGCAACTCTCTTTTATTAGCTATAAGAAGAAGAGGTTTTAGTTGAAAATGCATTTTTTTATGCCAGATGGAGAGCGTGTTTTGCCGTTATTGGCTCTGATTATTTTTGCTGTGAATGGTGCTGATTGGTCAATTGCTGCTGCGAGGAATTATGGCCCTGCCATAAATTGGCTATTTCAACATGAGTACAGTCTTATAGCATTTTGTGTCGGCTGCTATGTGACGGTTCTACTGGCTTCCAGATTCACTGGCTCCCGATTCCTGCTGTGGGCATTAGGGCAATGTCCAGTAACTTTATGTGTTTCCGAATCATAACTTTACCGTATTTTTGTAAATAAAATATATAATAATAACAATAATAATAATGGGTTACATTCTTGAACTTTTCTTAATGTAACGTCAACCTAATTTTTTTAAGATTGATTTTACCTGTTTTTATTGTGAACCCCCTAATTCTGTTTTTACTTTTGTGGGCCATAATCATTTCACCACATATTTCAGTTATACAAGCTATATCGAAATTGTTGAAGTTCTTAATTTTTCAATTCTTCAATGAATACGTGAAACGAACCTGTTTGCTTACAATTAACAACTGGCTGCAAGACATCGTAAAAAAATTTTTACCGCGCGGGATTCGAACCCGTGACGCGAAGCAGTAAAAGAGCACCTTCGGGGAGACGCCTATTACACCATTATAGACCATTATACACCACCACTAGCTGGCACAGGGTGAAAGACGCAAAATTTGTATTTGTAGTTTTTACGGAAATCCCAGTAAAACGCGCGTTAACGAGTTGCCGGTTGCGGCAACATAACCGCTGGGAATATTGTAGTTCTTGGCTGCCAAGCACTTTCTGCGAGGTTGTTTGAAGTGAAGATTGTCGCTGCCAATGCTTTTCTTCTTCATCAAATCAGCAAAGCCAAAGCAATATTTATTTATTCGTACAGTCGATATTTTTTGCACATAAGAGACAACTTGTTGAATTGAGTCAGTCAAAGTGGCTGTTCATATGTCGCAGTCGGATACCATGTGGCGGTTCTCTTCGGTCCCGCTAATACAGACCGCTAACACGTTTTAAATCTTAATCTCAAAAAAACACGTTCTAATCAGCCAGATATTTGTAATCGTATATTTAATGTGCCACGTGGTTCATTTGACCACCCACTAAAGGAATAAAAAACGTATTTAAAAGGCCACTCACTTGAGCAAGAAAGTCGAACGCGTGCTCACTAATGGTTAGCACAGAAGGAAAGGAAATTACGTCACACATCCAAAACGGACGCGCATTCATTTCTTCTTCGTTTTGTGTTTAGCTTCTGTTCAAGCGACATCTGCTGTCGTATCCTACCATGTGCATGATACATCTTTCTGTAAGGGTGTTTTGTGTTGTTGTTGTGGTTGTTCTTGTATCAAACAAAGCCTACGTGGCAGATCTAACAGTTTTCCCTGAGAGGGTGAACGGGTGCCAGGAGCTTGAGTTTGGAGCACGGAGGTTAGAAACCGTCCCCACACAAGCACAAAAACGCACGCACGTCAGCGGTTTCATTATCTGCGTTCACTGGCAAGTTTCAAGCGTGTCACGTCAACGTGACTATAACATTAGTTTAATGTCGCGCACAAACTCAGTCTCTGTAGGCAAAGCCATAATTCTCATCAATTACAATTTATAAGTATTTGACAGGCTACATTATGTCACACTTTCACACCGTCTACATTCAATCAAATATGTTTACAAAGACCTTTAAACCACAAGACGGATGTTAGTATGGTGGTCAGCAAAACGTTTAACAAAAAGTTCTAGCTCGACGGTGCCTTTCTCAATGCTGAGCAAAGTTTAACAGAATAACCGTTCACTTAACAAGCTGAACCCACAAACCACCGTCTGAGATGGTAAAGGTATATTGCACTTGATTTAGGATGCAACCACGTCCTTCTTCGAAGTTGTGTGCGTGTTTGAATTCTAATCTGGTGATAAAAAACCTTTATTCACAACAAAGAACATTCGTAATAAAAATCTGAATTTCGTATTGATAGATTATTTGCCAACAGCAGGGGTGACAAGGGATTTGGTTGCAGTGGCAGCCACCTGCCCCCCTGTGAAAAACCCTATGCCCAGACACAAGGCAAAAATATCGTTTTGGTCAAAGTTTTTCTGGCAGAAATACCCCGTCACTAAGTATGTGGCTTGAATAATGCTTCTTTCTCATCTCCTCTTGGTCTTCCAAATAAATTTATGTTACAAACATGGAATGGTGCAGTTGACAAATCATTTCTTTTAATCACTCTGCTGTGCAAAACTGCATGCTTTTGATTTTATCTTTAGACCACACTTTGTCATGAGAGTTTAAAAGAAGTGTCAACCATCTGGGATTGTGAGCAAATTAAATGGAAAAAAACAGAAAACTGTCAAACAATTAAGCACGCAGACATTTTGTGTTGGAAGATGAGTACAAAACATGACATTCAAGATTCAATCTGTTTTATTTATTTCGCTTTCACTTCATTTCTACATTTCACATGAACACAACATAGTAAATAAGAAAAAAACCACAAACATAACACAATCTACAGGTAAACACCCTTTACAAGCACAACTAAAATATTTCAAAACATTATCAAAAGCTTCACATGCTGCAAGTTTACTCTTGGAATTCGAGAGGGCACAAAGACCAGTTGAGATCTGAGAAGGGAACACTGACGTAGGCCAGTTTATCTGCAGAGTACCGACATCCAATTTGCTGCCTGAATAATGCTGTGCTACACAGACAGCACAGGCAGACTCACTTTGCCCCTAGATTTTATTTCATTAGCAAAAACACTTACAAAAATTGAGAAAAATATCAAAAGAAAGCTATTATAAAAAATACTCTATTGACCACCCCAAAAGGGAGATTGGGTAAAATGGGTAGAGTTGAGTTGTTTCACAACATTTTGCGACAACGTCAGATGACATAGACAGTGACATTCAGTGTGTTAAAATGCGTGAGCAGGATATCCAACATGCTGCTGTGGGATAAAACTATACAAGCCAAACTACTTTGAAATATTGCACAAACTACAGTATGTACACAAATGGTGCGCCAAGGAAAACAAACAAGGAGACTACAGGAAAAAGAAAAGGTAGCGGCGTAGCCCCCGAAATTCTCTAAATGTTTTGTTACTCAAATATATTTCACTGTGCCGGTTGAATGAATGCTTCATATTCAACTTTGCACAGCCTTAGACACATTCTCGATGGACATTCTACATGAAAACAAACTCTTTTGCAGCAATTGAGGACAAGTGTCTCCCATTTAAAAAAAAAAATACTTTGCATAGATTGATGTGTACATTTCAATTTTGTGTTCGCTCGTGAGCCAGACTTTCAAACTTATTTGGACAGCTTTCTAAATAAGCGTCATGGTTATTTGCTTGACATGGGGAAATCTGAATAACATGTAACATCATTCAAATATTTACAATCATTTTCCTTCACTTGACAAGCAAGGCAGTACTTCGAAATCATTAGCTTGTTTGGTATTCCGTATGTAAATAAGAAAAACAACTGTTGGTTGAACGGGTATATACACTCAGTCATCAAAGTAGTGCTGAGACGTCTTTTTGAAAACAATCACAAGTTAGCAACATTACGTGTCATGAAGGTATTATCGGAGAATTCTATGGCAGACTCACTTTGCCCCTAGATTTTATTTCATTAGCAAAAACACTTACAAAAATTGAGAAAAATATCAAAAGAAAGCTATTATAAAAAATACTCTATTGACCACCCCAAAAGGGAGATTGGGTAAAATGGGTAGAGTTGAGTTGTTTCACAACATTTTGCGACAACGTCAGATGACATAGACAGTGACATTCAGTGTGTTAAAATGCGTGAGCAGGATATCCAACATGCTGCTGTGGGATAAAACTATACAAGCCAAACTACTTTGAAATATTGCACAAACTACAGTATGTACACAAATGGTGCGCCAAGGAAAACAAACAAGGAGACTACAGGAAAAAGAAAAGGTAGCGGCGTAGCCCCCGAAATTCTCTAAATGTTTTGTTACTCAAATATATTTCACTGTGCCGGTTGAATGAATGCTTCATATTCAACTTTGCACAGCCTTAGACACATTCTCGATGGACATTCTACATGAAAACAAACTCTTTTGCAGCAATTGAGGACAAGTGTCTCCCATTTAAAAAAAAAAATACTTTGCATAGATTGATGTGTACATTTCAATTTTGTGTTCGCTCGTGAGCCAGACTTTCAAACTTATTTGGACAGCTTTCTAAATAAGCGTCATGGTTATTTGCTTGACATGGGGAAATCTGAATAACATGTAACATCATTCAAATATTTACAATCATTTTCCTTCACTTGACAAGCAAGGCAGTACTTCGAAATCATTAGCTTGTTTGGTATTCCGTATGTAAATAAGAAAAACAACTGTTGGTTGAACGGGTATATACACTCAGTCATCAAAGTAGTGCTGAGACGTCTTTTTGAAAACAATCACAAGTTAGCAACATTACGTGTCATGAAGGTATTATCGGAGAATTCTATAAAAGGACAGTGGTTGTATTTGTACACAGTGTATTGCAGACATGGATTATTCATTGGATGGCAAAAATTCTCAAGGTCAAAATCAGAACGAATTCTTTGTGGGACTTGGTGTTGTGAAGCAAAGCTGTTTACAATTAGAGTAGGGTGAGCTACAAAATAAGTGAACATAAATATACTGTTATTCTGCAGACACTGCAGTGGCTGTATGCAGTGGGTTATCATGAGCGTGTTTGTCGTGTGGTCAAGGTCATTGTGTTTTCGCTGGAAAAAAATGGGAACCATGTAGTTCAGATGAATAAGGAGACATTCAACGCAACTTTAACATTGAGTTTGTTGTAGAATGGCACACCAAAGCTCAAGACGGCGAAACAACGCTATAAAACCTTTTCTAAGTCTTTACTCATAGATGTCTGCTTCTTTCAATTTGCACATTTGCATTTGTTTTTAAACAGCTTTATCGTATCGCAAGAACTATGCCGAACCATCAGTGGAAACAAACGTGGAAAAAACACAGCGTGAACTCCTCTTCACTTGATATCTTAAGAGTTGCAAACTTTCCTCGTGAAAGGAATTTTGTATAAAGTAGCATTCAACCGCTAGTTCCAAAAGTAATGCACAAGATGTGAGTGAGTTATGCTGACAAATGTGAGCTGAAGTAAAAACTTTTCAAAATGAACTTGCCATCCACAAAACATCAAAACGTTCAATCATGAGGCCACGACGCGTTTCCGTCTCTTTTGCACACTCGCAGAACTTATTCAGGACACCAAGTCGGACGTTTTCAATGGATGCGATTCTATCCAAGCAGGTTTTCTATTACGCGACCGTTGCAATACAAAATACAAGCCTGAATCTGTTGCCCTGGTTACGGAGATGGCTGACGAGTGCCGATGCCTTGGCTGTGATGTTCAGCATAGTAACCATGAGCAATCTGAATATTTAATTGGTGCAGAAACTAAGTACAACACGTATACTTTTGTGTGGATCAATTACAACTATGTGTGAGTAGGCTAGAATGTTTCTGAGTTGGAATATAAGAAAGAGACCAGAACAGATGGCCTGAAGGCTGGAGGAGGAGAGCCATAAGAACTGGCGTCGACATGAAACAACTCTACTGGGGATAGTTATTCTGCTGCCGACGCTTCGCCGACCTCATTTTCTCAAAACGTGACTCCATCTCTTCGAGGACTTTGGGGGTGTACCTCACTACCAGCTTCACTGTGCCCTGAGCTGCTTTAAGTAGTTCCACAGCTTTCTCATGGTGTTCACCTTCCACGCTCTAGGGGGAGGAAAAAAAAAAAAAAACAACCACTCAACTGTTGGGCTGCACACTGTACAATGCGCACCACTTTGGGGTCTCATATTTGAGGATCAGAATAAGGTTTCTGCAGGACAGCTTTACGAGCTATTCCATCACAAATTCATTGCTGTGAAAAGGTATTTGCCCCCTTCCTGATTCCCCCGCCCCCCTTTTTTTTTGCATATCTACCACACACACTCAAGGATTCAAATCCATCCATCCATCCATTTTCTGATCCGCTTCATCCTCACAAGGGTCGCAGGGCGTGCTGGAGCCTATCCCAGCTGTCTTCGGGCAGTAGGCGGGGGACACCCTGAACCGGTTGCCAGCCAATAGCAGGGCACACACAGACGAGCAACCATCCGCGCTCACACTCACACCTTGGGACAATTTAGAGTGTTCATTCAGCCTGCCATGCATGTTTTTGGAATGTGGGAGGAAACCGGAGTACCCGGAGAAAACCCACACAGGTCGGGGAGAGAACATGCAAACTTCACACAGGGAGGCCGGAGCCGAACCCACGACTATCTGTACTGTGAGGTCGACGCGTTAACCACTGGACTACCTGGCTGCCAAATTTCAAATTATCAAACCAATTTTAATATCACTCAGAGACAACCCAAGGAAATACAAAATGCAGTTTTCAAATGGCAATTACATTTATTGAGACATGAAAAAAAAAAAATTCAAAACTTTTTTGACCCTCTGTGAAAAATTGCCCCCCTTATTAAATCACAAAGTCATTGTGACGAACCACAAATTAGGGAAAGGTGAGTTCAATTTCACAAACCACGCCCAAACCTGATTAACCACGATACTTGTTGAATCAAGAAATCACTTAAATAGAATCTGTCAGAGAATGTGAAGTAGACTACAAGATTTCAAAAACCAATGCATGGGACAAAATGCCTCCAGAGCGATGTGACAGACTCATTACCAATTAACGCAAATGCTTGATTTCAGTTATTACCGCCAGGGGTGGCACAACCCGTTATTAGGGTCAGGTGGCAATTACTTTTTCCACAGAGGGTCAGAAAGGTTTTGATTTTTTTTTTTTTTTGTGTCTTAATAAAATGAATTGTCATTTGAAAACCACCTTTTGTATTTCCATCGGTTGTTTGGGTGTGATATTAAAATCGGTTTGATGATTTGAAACCTTTGTCTGGTTAAATATGCAAAAAAAAAAAAAAAAAAAAGAATGGAATGAATCAGGAAAGGGGCAAATACTTTTTCACAACCCTGTATGTAGGAAAAGCCAAATGATGGCAAGGACACACCACCTATACGAGTTATTGAGGTGTTGAAAAACATTTTGTAGCACAGAGCAAGAGAAAAGGAGCGATGAAAGATGGTACAATGTGCTTTATGAATGTATCTTTGTTTAGCAAAGTCACAGACGCTTTTGTGATTCACCTGCTTGACTTTTGCGCAGGGAGAGCAGGGAGCATTGTGGTTTGGTCAGTTGTGGTTTGTTCAGTTGTGGTTTGGTTCACTTCACCTAAAGTGTGAATGCTGCATAGGCCAAAACACAGGCCAACGTTGAAATAATAAGAGGAAACCACTGGAAAATGCAACAATGGGGGGATTACGGTCTCCTTTGCGCATATTTTTATGTTTGTGTAAGTGCCCAGAAAAAAAAAAAACAAACACACACACACACACACACACACACACACACACACACACACACACACACACACACAAAAAAGGATTTTGGTCACTCCATGCCAAATCACCCACCACTTCCCCTCCCAAAAAAGAGAACATTTTAACCGAGATGATTTTCATTTAATAAAACTTGGTGTACTTGTTGATGGTGATGACAAAATACAAAATCCTCAAATTTTAAGTCAATTAGAGCAGGGGGTTGGGGGCTGCACCCTGCCGAATTTTGACATTTTTGGCAAAAAAACGGCATGGCCGCCTTCATTTAAACCCTTATATCTCTGGTTCAATATTTACAAAAGAGGAGTTGTTGGAATGGGAATTTAACAAGGATTCCAAATATGCAATCATTTAAAAGATTGGTACATATGTGAGCAACTTGAACCTTTGACGGATAATTTGACTTTAAAAGTGACCTTGTATTTCACGTGACTGAAACATTTTCATGCATGGTAATCTCTCACATCTTCTCCAGAACATATTCCAGTTTCAGAGATGGGTTTTTTTTCCAAGTTTAGCAGCAAGAATGAGTCAAAAGATCTATTCCCTCAGATATTCCTTGAAAGTTGAATATTCATTGAAGGTCTGCGGGGCGGGATACTTTGACAATTTATTGTTAAAACTAAACAAAAAACACATCTCTGAAACTTATGTTTTAGAGAAACGTGAGAGATTACATTGATGAAAAACTTCGTTGAGGTCATGTAATCCACAAAGTCAATCTCAAATTCAAATTACAGGTCAAAAGGTCAAGTGCACAAAAAATATGGACCGATCTAAACGATTGCATATCTGAATTCCATTTCCAACAAAACCTGTTTTGTGAAAAGTGACCCAGCACTTCTTGCGTTAAAAGGTTCCAAAGGAAGGAGTCCATGCTCCCTTTTTTGGACAAAATGTCAAAATTCGGCAGGCCGCAGCTACCAAACCCCTGCTCCCTTTGACCTAAAATTTGAGATTTTGTGTTATGCCATCATTATCAACAAATACATTCATTCCAATCAAAATCTGCTTGGTTAAGCCCACTGGGTGTGATTTGGCATGAAACGAGCTGCTCCTCGTTAGCATAGATAGACAAGGCTGCCTTTTGGAGTTCCAAAAATGTGGTACATTTAAGGACACATCACAGGCTAACTGCAGTAACGGCTAAAGAGTTGTTGCATTAGAACAAATGTGAAACATTGAATGAAAAAGCTGAGGAAAAAGGCTGGAGACTTTTTGCCTGTAAAAGAAGAGGACTTACCACCCCGTTGACAGAGAGAAGTTGATCACCTCTCTTCAGGCCACCGTGTCGGTCGGCGATGCCTCCTGGGATGATCCGCGAGATGTAAATTGGAGAGTTCTGCTCCTTCCCACCCATTATGTTGAACCCCAAGCCTTCTTCTGTTTTGGGAAGTTCCACCACACGTGGATGCGAGTGCCCCTCACTTGCTGCAAACGCTGCCACGGTCGCCTATACGATGAGATTCTCTTAATTCTTGAAATATCTTGTAACACTGTGACTGAATGATTGTACCTTTGCTGTAGCATTTGCTCTGACTTCAGGACTGCTGTTGATGTCCACTGTCTCGTACACGTGCTCATAAACCTGTAGAAACAAATTAGCCAAAAGATCAAAACCTGCAGTGTCTATTTCAGCAAGCACAGTGGAACCTCCTGTGAAAAACGATACAAAGTTGGTGTTCAAACAACAATTTTTTGTTGAACTCATCATCATGGGTGATGTCATACTTCGTACAAGACAAAACGTGTGAAAGGCACCTTCATTAGTCGTTTCACTTTGACAATGTACGAAGCTACTTCAATCATTGCCTGTATAATTAATAGAGGTTTTATGATGGAAACAGTTTGAGCGTGAAAAAAAAAAACGTTTCATTCGTTCCCATGGAAAATGTGTTCACTAAAACTAGTGTCACAAAACAGATTATGTTCCGACTCAAGCGGTTACATGGTAATCAATACGACGAGGTGAACTGTCAGCGAGTGAACTGAAACCAAAGCAAATGAATGATTCAAAACAATCACATTGAAAGTAGGGATGCCCCAATCCCACTGTTTGGGTACCCAAGTTTCAGTCTATGGTTTTAAATATCTGCCACTATAGAGTCCCGATCTGACAGCTTGGCAATACAGTAAAAATGAATGAATGAATGAATGAATGAGGAGTATGCATCCAAATTAATGCTTCCACATTGTACTTCTCTCCTTGTTGCTCTAAATAAAATGTATTTTCCGCTGCAGAGTACAGGCGGATGTGCCTGCGTGTTATTAGGCCTGTCACCAGATTTATCACCGTTATCAGGTCTGTCACCATAACAAATCTTTCCGGGCGATGTATTTTTCACAAAAACTTTTGCAATAAATGATTGCATCATTATTTATGTCACTGGTTTCGTGATGACGTTAGAGCAAAAATAATTGAAGTACATCCTTTTCAAGTGTTTTTAAATACGTTTGTGACTAAACTGAGAGTGGACAAGTTTTATTTATTTATTTAAGTACATTATTTATACGTTTTTATACTTTGGTGTACAGGTTACCTGTGAGATTTTGTCATGAAAAATAGGTAAGTAGCCTGAACAAAGGTTGTTTTTCATCCGATCTTATTAATACTTGAATAAAAGCCCAAATACATAAAATACACATAGACTAAGGTGTTTGTATTAATGTTTAGCTATTTCAAGCGAACTAAGCTCCCTCACAATACACTAGCATTGGAGAGATCCAGACTCAGTAATTTAATGGATATTTGGTGACAGTCACCAAATCTCTTTAAGCTCCTGGCAAAAGTTCACAGAACCCATAGTGCATAAACAAGCAATGGAATTGTGCAAAAAGAGCACTGCAGAAGGCTGCTGTTAGCCAAAAGCATCGGCTACCAATAGAGCAGGGGTGTCAAACTCGTTTTTGTCGCGGGCCACATTGTAGTTACGGTTTCCCTTGGAGGGCCGTTATGAATTTTGGGAATAACTAGTTTTACAATCAGAAGTCAAGAATAATGACCGTTATTGTGGATTACATATGACAATTTGAAACTTTGGTTTAGACCTTAGGAAGCATCATGGAACTTGACATGATTATTTGCTTTTGCGGGCCACATAAAATGGTGTGGCGGGCCAGATCTGGCCCACGGACCTTGACTTTGACACCTGTGCACTAGAGTTACTTGACTATTCGCATTACGGACTCCTTCCTCTCATGAATAAATTGAAGCAAATCTAACATACACAGTCGAACCAAACTGTTGAGACGGGTTTCAAAAGCTGTTCCACTCCGAATGTGAATGCATCCGTGTGAACGCCCACACTTGTTCAGCAGCTGACAGGAGAAGTAGAGAAGCAATGCGACTGAATGTTGATGATGTATGTAAACAAACATGCATGTAAATTATTATGTATCGAGTCATAAAAAACTATTGTTACAGTCCTAATCACTGTGATCCGCCCCAAATTCTGCTCAGCGTGATCGGTTCAGGACAGCCCAAACTACAGGTATCTTACTTCTCTGACAGCATTGCAAAATTCACTCTGTAAGACCCTTTGCAGGGCCTGCAGCTTCTGAGGAGGAACCTCCCCCGTCCTCTGAAGCTTGTCAAGCAGTTCAATGGCACGGTTAATGTCTGTCAACAAACAAAACACCACAATCCACAATCAAAATAAAGGCGCTGTTTGAAAAATGCTGACACAAGGATCTCAAACATTTAGCGAAAACGAGTAAACTCTAAAAGTACAGAGGTTATTTGTTTTGCTTTTCAGAGTGACACCCCCCCCCACACACACACACAGTTTTTTCTGAGTATTTTTAATATTTTTCTTTAAAATAATTTTCCTGAGTGTTATGTTTTCCGGAATTATTTCAAGAAAAAAAATTATTCTAAAAGCAGCAACAAAAAAAAAAACATGAAAAAACTTAGATAAGCCTTCCTCCCCTCCTCCCAAGTGACTGCAATAGACTGACATAAGATCATATTTTCATCCGAGTTCTCAATAAAAAGAGGAATATTACATGGAAATATGACCAACAATTATATTTTTGTATGCTTTCTAATCTCATGAGAAGAAATAAATAATAAATACAATAATAAACAGCTATATAAACAAAATGAACCACTCAGGGGAAAAAAAGTGTTTTGTTTTGGCCTCCCAAGCGCACTCAATACGATCTGGGATTATAAATAACACGTTGATAATCATTTGGCAAAATTCAATCATAACCTTTTACTGAATTTGATCAAAAGTCTCAAAAATGTATGTACTGTCGTACTTTTTTGCGAATGCACCGCAGGAGAGAATGCTAACGGCGGCTAATGTCTGCTATTCATGGCTAGCAAAGCAGAAGAGGTGCACTTCTTACAATCCATCCGAACCATCTTCTTTATTTTTAATACCGCAGCAAAATAGGGAATGTAAACGTCATGTCACTGCAACCAAACAGTAGTTTCCTGACTTGCTTGTTAGCAACGAATCATACAATCTAACATGGCACACGGCGTTCATCTTAGAATTGAAGCAGCGTTCTGGGCTTCCAAATAGAATGCAAACGAATTGCTAACATAGCCCTCGAAATGCTACAGAATCTCGGCATGCATTTAGCAATAGCAATTACACTTGGCTAACGCTAGTTTTAGATAAGACGTTCTCATCGACATGAACATTTCAACGCCACACTACCAAGCCAATTAACTTTACCTCTCTCCAGACGTACAGGTTCCCCAAGCGACGCCATTTTCCTGCTGAGACGCAGTTTTATGTCACGCGGATATTACGTCGATGGCAGCTAAGAGAAACTCAAATTAGTAATCCTCGTTGACGTTACGTGCTCTCAACAAGGGCGATAAATCAGATTAGCTCAATTAGCAGGCTAGGCTAACGGCCAGTGTCATGGTGCGTTCAGGCAGCGCTGGAAAAAATTGAATTCATGTATCAAAAAGGACACAGTTGTTTAAGTGACAGTAATTATGGTGATCTTACATTACATTAAATGACGTGATGTGCCAGATCTGCCACTCGGGCCTTGAATTTGGGACCCGTGACCTATTGGACGGCGATGCACATTTAAGGTTGCATTCAGTTGCAGTCATACATTGGATGTCCTTTGGATACGCATGTTGCACGGGACATGATCGAGATGACAGGATTTGTTCTTGACAAACCACGAAGTGTCAAGCCTGCTACTCCCACCACTGTTCAAAACAAAACAAAAAAAAAAACCATTACTAGAGCAGGCAGTCAGTGCGGGTCTCTGCAGGGCTGCGCTGGAACTCAGCACCAACAAAAACTTTATTCAGCGGATGCTCGGGAAAGTGAATCATTTTCCATTGTACCAACTTAAGGTTGTAAAGAATACTACTAATCTTTCATTTGCCTTTGAGCAACTTTAAGTCTCTAAAGAATCTATTGAATCGATTTTTTGTTGATGCTGAATTCTTGTGAATTCTCACCATTTGTTATCGACTTTCCCTGGCTTTGTACAAACCTCTCTTCTAGAAGTTGGGTGATTTCACCGTTTGTAGGAGTAGCAAGGTCAACAACAGATCTTTTTCAAGACACTTGCCATGGATAGTGTAAATTGTTATACAGTTTGTGTTGGAAGAGTGTGACAGCCCTAAGTGTTCCTATCATTTGTATTGGAGACACTGTGCAGGTACAACTTTTAATGAGAGTATATGGGTAAAGATTTTCACACCTCATACCTGAAATATGAAATGATTCTAGATGAATAATTTTCTAATTGTTTTTATTTCATTTTTCTCACGTGTTCTTCTTGAGTGGTGGGGTAGCTCCCTAGCGCCATCTAATATGCTAATCATATAGGACAGTATTGAGCTCAGTCCTCAAAATAGGAATGGCTCCCCCTTAAATTACCTGCTGGATTATAAGGGTTTTTTATTGTTTTTATCTGTCTTGGTCTGTTTTACTTAAACGTGAACCATTTCTTCCCCACCTCACTATAATTAATCAGAAAACTATCTTGGTAAGTTTTGATGGATTCGTTCATTTCATTTAAAAGCTGTGCTGAGCCTCTTGGTGCTTTTGTTCAAGGGATTATTGGACCACATCCTGTCTGTGGGAGATCTGACGCTTTCATGGCTTTAGCTGACGAATCTGTAGTGTCCCTCAGGGATTTGAATCATTAGAGTTTTGCATTGTACTGTATAGTGATTACATTCACTGATATCTCTTCACGGGTCACTTTGAACAGCTGTTAAATTGCTGTTGCAGCAATATAATTAAGAGAATGTCATTACGATGACTGTACCTGTTGTTGGAAATTAATGAAAAAGGTTGACAATCATGTCCATGAACTGGTCATCCCTTTTTGAGCGGCAGTATGATTCCTTCCTCACATTTGGCGTATGAAAGGAAATCGCCGTAAATTCTTACCGTGGAGAGAGGAGTAAATATCAGTTCTCTGGTCGTGGACATTTTCTTCAGCGGCTTCCCAAATTTCAAAAGGCAGGTTCCACTCTTCTTCGGGAATTCACTTGAATTCCAACAGGTTTTGGTGAAGCAAATTGATGTCGGAGTGCGACATTTAACACAAACAAATGACCTAACATAAATTGCGTAGTTTTTGCGTCGTGTACAAGAATCCCTTTGTCTAAATTGTGAGAAATGTTAGTCGATGAAAAGAGGTGAAAGAAAACAGTGTTTCTTAAGCTGTTGAAGGGAATGAAGCTGTGTCAACCTTTCACCCCAGAAAGCAGACAAGTCGGTTTCCCTCAGATATCTTTGTGATTGTACAACTCAATGAATGCACCGACGACTGATCTTTTGTTGAAGACATCACGATGGGATTCACTCACATTAAACTGTTGGTTTTAATGAGCATAGATGTATGGGTGGGTGAAGCCTTCAAGTATGTGTCAAGAGCACCCAGAGCTTACTTCCACAAGTCGAAACTTGAAGGCGCAGATCACTTTTTCTCGTGAAAGTGAGGATGACTGTATTTCTCTGATTGTGCGATTATGGTGTAGCTCGAGTGACAGAAAAGACTGTGCCTGTGAAGGAGTGTGGCAGTGCTGTTTTGTATTTCACCCATTTCCAAGCTGCAAGCACCCTTCTGATCCTGACCTGCTTCATCAGTACACTTGTGTGTGTCGTGAGTCCACATTTGAAATACTGCACGCAAAGTATAATATAATAACCTTTGTTTGTTTCGTGATGTTTTGGTCAATTTACTGACTGATTGATGCGTTTTATGTGTTTCTGGATTTGTGCAAATAACTAAAAGTGGAGGGTTGAAACTTTATCAACATTGGTTTTGTTTTTCAGTTGCCTATAGTCATTTTTATTTCTTCAAATATTTCAGTTTAATATTGCAAACAACTTCACAACATACAAAATGAATAATATTAACCCAGAAACATGTCTCATATATATATATATATATATATATATAT